TTTGAAAAGGGGCCAAGCAGGAGCCCAGGTTATACAAGTTAAGTTTTGTGCTGAGCTGTTGAAAACAGGAGTTTACAAATGTGAAAAAGCGTCAGGACAGGCTCTCGCACTGGGTTTGGGAAGTGGCGCCCGGCTTCGTGCTGGGAATGAGGGGATGATGTTGTGAGACAGAAAAGAGCCATTTGCAGAGAGCAAAAGAAAAGAAGTAGCCCCTGGTGCAAGATAAACACATTCTCTCTGTCCAGGCTGTAGTAAGCAGAGTTCCTGTGGATTTAGCAACACTGGAAGGAAGTCAAAGACATGTGAATGCATCTTGCCTTTTTTTTAGAGAGATTAACTGTTTCTTTTGCTGTGTGATCTTTTCTAATATGTCTTAAAAGGCAGTGGACCTTCTGCTGGAAGCTTTACCTGTCAACCACGGCTGTGGGTTATCTCTGTACTCGGTAGCCTTCAAGCAAGGTTGTTCTTGGAAGATACATAAAACTGATTGCTGGCCTCAGTGGATGGCAGCAATCACCCCAGGGCTTGCTCCTGGTCCTCAGATGGGAATGGGGCTGGAATATTGCCCCCTTGCTTGGCAAAGCTTGGATATGTTTAGCCAAAACATGTATCCATCCCATGTATTGCATGTTCCAGGGCCATATGGCTGGCACCTTGCAGAGGGTTTGGGTTTCTGACCTGCTATTTTCCGTAGTGGTTGTCCTTTGGAAAAGCAGTTGAGCACTTTGGGCCAAAGTTGCTCTGATTTAGCACGTGTGGGGTGAAGCGAAGGCCAAGTCACGGCTCCTTTGCAAGGTGGCTGATGCTGGGCTCCAAACCCAGGAGCGGTGATGAAAAAAGAAACCCCCAAACCTCCTGTTGGAGGATCTTTTATAAATGAAAAGTGGTGTTATAACATCTGTGACAGCAAAATGTCCCTGTGGGCTGGATTAGGTGAAAAGCCCATTTGCAGAGGTGTTTTTGGACATACGGTCCCACAATAGCATGTGGGCCAGCCCCGTTTTACTACCCAGTGTTGCTCTGTAGGCTAGGTGGGCTGATGAAATGAAACTTGCCCAGACCTTGCTGAAGTCCTAGGTGTGTAATGCTGTTGATATTTCTGCAGGAAATCCTGTATTTCTTGCTTTTCTCCTGATCTGTCTCCTGAAGTCTCCTGGTGAAGCTGCAGCACCTAGAAAGTGCCCTACAGCCCCAGCTGGCCCACAACTACAGTGTTAATGGGTAAAATTGTTCTGTGGATGGTGGCGAAATTGCTGAGGAAACCCTGGTATAAAAACTAGGTGCTTAATTTGACTAATTTTGGTTCATCTATTTACAATTTTGTGGGGCTGTCCCACAAGGTAAGTGGTGTTTGGAGCATCTAGAAATACGTCGTTTTGGGTTAGTCTCTGGTATTTGCCTTGAGAAAAATGTAGCTGCTTTTCCTAAGAGTGGGAAAGCTGGTGCATATGAATATTGCCATTTAGCTTGATGCTTGTTCCGGTTGGCTTTCCTGGAAATGGAAGGAGCCAATTTTGTTCCCCCTGAATACCTTGTGTGTCGCACTGGCCGTAGCCGGTGCTGTAACATGAAGGGGCTTCTGATTCTGTAAAGCAAGGTGCAAAGTTAGGAGCTTTGCATTTGCTGTTGTGCCAAAGCAATAAAACTGATGAGCAGAAGCATTTGTGCCAGCCAGAGGCATGGGAGGAAGAGGCAGGGAGCACTGCTGTGTTCTGGATGATGCAAAAAGGAGGGCGCTGCTTATTCTTTTCCTGCTTTGTGTTTTGGGAGACCAGGAGTGAGATGAAGGCAGCAGAAGCGGAGGGAGGGCAGGTTGTGCCGGGGATGCCAGCAGGGCTGGGCACGGTGCCTGCGGCGCTTTCAGGGCTGCTGAACGTTTCAAGGTGCCACAAGACAAAGCGGGATAGAAACTCCAGCGACCTGGGCCGTAACGGTGCCGCTGGGGCGCTCGGATCGAAACGCCAGCTCCCTTGTAATCTTGTCCTTTTGTTAGGTGTAAACAGCTCTTATCCTTAACGTTGATAACGCCAGGTTCCATTTCATTATTGTCACAATTAACCTCCCTTCCTTCCCATGCTCTTGGTTTTAGTGTTTTCAGCCCTGGGGAGTGCTCTTGTTTTCAATATTTGTGTGTGTTTTTTTCCAGGAACTCCTGGGGTTAGCAGAGGGGATCAATAGCTCTTGCTTTACCAAATTGTGTGCAAATGATACCAAGGTTCCTGCTTGTGGAACTCCTTGTAGTGCTTGTCATTGAGGACAGAGTCTGGGGCTTCCCTTCTGCAAGCAAAGCTGCTCTCCTATAGTCTGTTCTATAGGGATGCATTATATAGTGTCTATGTAACCTTGCAGGAAGATAGCCGT